TCCAGCTGCCCGACTCGTTCGACTTCTGATCGAGTCGTCCCGAGCGCTGATCGTCGAGAGTTCAAAGGACTTCAGATCGCCGAGCATAGCCACCGTGGCAGGTGGTCAGACGTCTTCAGCTCCAGTGCCCAGGATAAAAAAAAAAAACACAAACAAGACAGAGACAGAGCTGTACCTCCCACAATCATTATTACCAAGTGTCATCAATTGTATTAGTGTATGCGGTACCTAACTACTGCAGCAGATGCATTTTAAATGTTCTAACTACATAGTACTGTGTTCGTGATGTGAACATAATGTTAAATAAGAAACTTACTCATCAGTCACCTTCCTGTGTTTTCAAACTTTACAAAAAAGGTTACCTGAACAGACTCCTCACTGCACCACATATCAATCAGTCTTGTTACTGCCACTGAGGACTCATTAACAGCACCCAGTCCCAGTGCCATTGTCCAGCATCCAATCATCCCAGTTGCACAGACATAAGCCACAGGTGAGCAGGTAATGGCAACACAGGTTCATAACAGACACTCATGAAATGATGATAGAAACACTTGACATCTCTATTCTGAATATTGACAGCATCAGTCCATGTAAGCAATATACCTATTTCATCAACTAATGAGCACTTTTAGGGCACTTTAAACTTCTCACAACTGCAAACTTTTCATCACAAATTTCAAATAAAGTGTTACACCTAGGTGCTATAAAGTGCTGCTTTCTAGCATGATGGGTGTAGATTTGCTTCAACTGGTAATTTTCATTGACTTTGCTCCCTCGCTTGGATGCCTGTCAAGCATCATGGGAGTATTGTAGATGACAACAAAAAGTTATTATATTCAAGTAGTGCTACATAATAAATTCATACTCTTATCTCCCACCTAATGCACATACCTGCTTGTTCAGCATCCATCTATGGACAGACTTTTGTTCTTGCCTTGCCCTGTGTGTGCCTTCTTTCAAAGTTAATATAACTTGAATTCAAATTGAATAGGCACCTCAAGTGATGTTAATATTTGAGTTGAAGTGCTCTGAAAATCTCTCTCTGCTCCTGTGAAACAATTTCATATTGAGATGTCAATGGTTTTGGATTTTGCACATTAAAGGACTTTGATAATTCATCACCTCATGTCTCCGGACTCCAACCAACTACCAGCACAATTCACAATTTACCTTTATCATCATCTGATTCATCATGTGATGAAAACTCAAACTGCTGACAGCTTCAAGAACCAGAACAGGCTAGACCAGCACTGGGCCACAAACATTCCTGAGCAATTTGTCTTTAAACCACAGCCAATGACCTATGAGCGATGTGGACACCTAATTGAAAAGGACCCTTGTCTCATCCCAATCCACTAAATCTATGCCCACTCCTATCAAACTAAAATACCCGCTAGCACACAAAATGCCACCAAAAAGTACTTAATTAGTAGGAACTGAACATTGAGTAACAGCATGTAACAGTATGTGCATACTGTATGGGGTAGCAGGCAATGTTAAAAATAATTGCTCGATATCAATATGACATCACCTTAGCCAACAGCCAGACTGCAAAGTATGGTACGCAGGTCGACGAGGCGCACCGGCCCAAGTTCAAAATCCGCACCATCCCTTCAAACTGAGCCGGAAAATCCGCACCATAGCGGGCTGAGAGCCCAAAAAATCTGCACCAGCACCGAACCCACAGGCAATTATAATGCAAGGGACTTTATTCATCTCACTATAATTATTTCCCGTCCAATTTCAGTTTCACTCACCGCTTGAGCAACGCTAACCACGGGACCGCGCCGCGCACTTGTACCGTAAGTTTGAAATAGAGCAAATAGACGGACACCGGAGGGCATATTGGGTCATGTTACATTCGGAACTTCTCCCCCTCTGTGGGCCTTCTACATGCTAAATGTCACGTGTGAATTTCACGAGCCTTGATCAAATAGCACCAACAAACTTTCGTATGAGTGAAACCAATGACGTCATTCCCAAGTAGCATGCTGATTGGCAATCCAAACCAGCTGCTCGCTAATGTGACATACCAGTCACCACCGCAACCAGTCTTCGTTCTAATGGCGTCGTCATCACGATAATTCCCGAGGCGAGAATGGATTTGTGCTGCCGCAATTGTTAGTTCGTAGAGTAAATTTAAAACCTTGGTTTGTAACCGTGCGTCACCGTGGCTGGCACGCATTTGTAGGGCTTTCCAAAGAACAGTCAACAAGGGAACCCGGCCCGGTAAGAAGACCACGCGAAGTCCGCAGTCCGCACCGCACCAAGGTCCAAGCGTTGGTCCAAACCAAATCCGCACCGCACCATGCCAGATCCGCACCGCACCACTCCAAAATCCGCACCAGCCGAACAAGCCCGCACCGACGAGATCTCGTCGAAATTGCCATACTTTGCAGTCTGGGCCAACAGTGAAGAGTCGAAGACCGAAACAATCTTCATTGCCCGAGGCATAGCCAAGGCAAATGTTTGTTGATGTCTTCTTCTGAGGGCTACAATAGCATCAGCATCACAGAGGGCATTATTTATATTACTGGGTAGTCATAAAGCAGGCGTCACACTTCCGTGTTAACGGCCGGAGGTCCGGTGACGGGCTGTGGCCTTGAGACGGCCGCCGGTTTATTACGTCACAAACGTACTATCGATGCAGAGTTTTCTATCGATGTGAGAGCTTTGATTTACGGAGCGGGGAGATGAAAATGACCAGCGCACAGCGGACGCAGGGAGAGGAAAGGATAAAAAAAACTTGGTCACAGCAGCGGACTCGCTTCGAATCCGAAGGTCCCGGGTTCGAATCCCACCATGGCGTTGCCTCAGCGGCCACTTTATCGTACTTTTTAAGTTTTAGAGGGCTGGGATCGGCAGTGCTGAGGGTGCTAGAGCTCACTGACTCGACTCCAATGCAGAGGTCCTGGGTTCGAGTCCCACCACGGCGTTACCGAAGCGACCACTTTATCGTAGATGCTTTTTTAGTTTTATAGGATTGGGATCGGCAGTGCTGAGGGTGCTAGAGCTTACTGACTCGACTCCAATGCAGAGGTCCTGGGTTCGAATCCCACCACGGCGTTACCGAAGCGGCCACTTTATCGTAGATACTTTTTTAGTTTTATAGGATTGGGATCGGCAGTGCTGAGGGTGCTAGAGCTTACTGACTCGACTCCAATGCAGAGGTCCTGGGTTCGAATCCCACCATGGCGTTGCCTCAGCGGCCACTTTATCGTACTTTTTAAGTTTTAGAGGGTTGGGATCGGCAGTGCTGAGGGGTGGGATTCGAACCCAGGACCTCTGCATTGGAGTCGAGTTAGTAAGCTCTAGCACCCTCAGCACTGCCGATCCCAATCCTATAAAACTAAAAAAGTATCTACGATAAAGTGGCCGCTTCGGTAACGCCGTGGTGGGATTCGAACCCAGGACCTCTGCATTGGAGTCGAGTCAGTAAGCTCTAGCACCCTCAGCACTGCCGATCCCAATCCTATAAAACTAAAAAAGCATCTACGATAAAGTGGCCGCTTCGGTAACGCCGTGGTGGGACTCGAACCCAGGACCTCTGCATTGGAGTCGAGTCAGTGAGCTCTAGCACCCTCAGCACTGCTGATCCCAGCCATCTAAAACTTAAAAAGTACGATAAAGTGGCCGCTGAGGCAACGCCATGGTGGGATTCGAACCCGGGACCTTCGGATTCGAAGCGAGTCCGCTGCTGTGACCAAGTTTTTTTTTATCCTTTCCTCTCCCTGCGTCCGCTGTGCGCTGGTCATTTTCATCTCCCCGCTCCGTAAATCAAAGCTCTCACATCGATAGAAAACTCTGCATCGATAGTACGTTTGTGACGTAATAAACTGGCGGCCGTCTCAAGGCCACAGCCCGTCACCGGACCTCCGGCCGTTAACACGGAAGTGTGACGCCTGCTTTATGACTACCTATTACTGTCCCTTCTTATTCTTCATGGCGTGTAGCCGTCAGGCTCAAGCGTCCAACTTCGCAGTCTTGTTTCAGTCTTCAATTCGTCATTTGAATCGTAATCGTAACAAAATAAGGACAAGCTGTTGGAATCGGTATAACTGTCCCTACCTCATACAGTACTCATTTCATCACATGACCAACTCCAGCTTACTGATAAATGTAGCTAAATATGCCATCACTCATAAGAAAATTGAAAAAAGGAATACCTAAAACACGCGCGGATTACTATTGCCCATTGTCATTGTATCATTAACGTAACTATGCAAATACTCCGTAGGAAATTAAATACAAAAATTGCGGCCAACAGTCAAAATTATCAGACACTCATTTCACGTCAACATCATACAAGCCAGTAAACTTCAACTTTATTGTTGTTGGTTTTTGTGTTTTCCTAACGCGTCGAAAACGTCCCGTGCATCAGAAATGTAGAAAAAGAGTACCACTAAAATACAGCATTTTTACACTTCGACGTGTTTTATCTTCTTCAAACTCTAATGCAGCAAGCAGAAGGAACATGCATGTAAGGTTTGAGAATCGTAACAAAATAAAGACAAGTTGAATTTGCGGATCTACTTGATAAATTGTTTTTGGATCTAAGTAGTTTGTAAGGAAGCTAACACTTCAACACATAGCTATTGCTGGTAATTTCAGCAAAAATTTGTTAGAATCTGCAAGAATGTTGGCAAAGCATAAAAAGAATAAATGAGGGGTAATGTGTGTGTCCATACTAAATGATTTAAGAAGGCTTTTATTTTTGGTTCCTAATGCAGTCTAATGTCTGCTTTGTTTTTACTTTTTGCAGTAAAAGCAAAAGCAAGTACCTTGAAGCTATTTTTCACATTTAAGCCAGCTTTCCAGTTGTGCACAAATAACCTAGACATGAACATTTTTATTAAAAAATTAACTTAATTTACTTTTTTAGAATCAAAGTATTGTTGATGCCGTTTCATTACTTTTGAAAAAGTACTTATACATCTCTAGACAAAACAAATGGCGAATGAGAACTGCGACGAGCAACGGTGTTGTGCGTCAATTATTATCAATTGTTTGTGTTGGGCTTGTGTGTTGGGCGATGTCTGTCCCAATGGGTCTGTCCTGTCTGAATGGGTCGAACTGTCGATTTTGGGAAGTGGGAGTGCTTAATGAAGTCCTTTTTGCTGGATTTTAACTGTTAAAGTCTGGATGCCCAAGGGCAATGACGGTTCGCAGAGAATGAGAATGCACGTCTGCCCGGCCACCTCAACCTGGGCTTCAAGCTTGAGCTGAATGAGGTGCGATCAGTAAGTACTGGTCATGACAGTTGCAGCTGGTGAGGCTGACATGTCTGTTCAAAACCATAATGGTCAAGTGACTGAAGGGATGTCGGTTGGTTCAAAGCAAGATGACAATCCCAGGAATGCATATTCAATACCCGGGATCTTGCACTACATCCAACATGAGTGGGCGAAGTTTGAGCTGGAGAGATCCAAGTGGGATGTTGAGAGAGCAGAGCTGGAGGCAAAAATTGCTTTTCTACAAGGAGAAAGAAAGGGACAAGAAAATCTCAAGAACGACTTGGTGAGGAGGATAAAAATGCTGGAGCATGCCTTGAAACAGGAACGGGCTAGGTATCACAAGCTCAAATATGGTGCTGAGCTCTCACAAGGTGACCTGAAGCCTCCAGTGTTTGATGAGGGCAGTCAAGAAGACATCATGGAGGGTGATCAAATGATCACAGCAAACAGCAATATTTCCTGGCGTCAAGGTCGACAGCTTCTAAGGCAGTACTTACATGAGATTGGCTACACAGACACTGTGATTGATGTGAGATCAAATAGGGTGAGATCCCTGCTAGGACTGAAAGAGAACAAAAATGGTAGCCCACCACTTGTGAACAGTGAGCCAGTGATTGCCAAAGGAGATGGACAGTCAAAAGCAGGAGCACAGAGCAGAGCAGGGCTTTTATCTGAGGACATGCTGAGGGAAGCAGAGCAGGCTGTTTTAGAAAACTTTGACTTCTTGAATGATGGTGTTGAAGTGGATGATGGAGATGATGATGATGATGACTGGAAAAGTGAAGAGATCAACACTGTAAAAGAGGAAAAGAGTGCAGGTGACGATGAGTCTGATGCATCAAGTATGGTGATGGCTTTGAAGTCCCTAGAGTTCAACTTTGGGAACATTGGCAACATAGTGAACCCTTGGGAAGACAGTGGTGTGAGAATGGTGGATTCAGAACGCCAGCAGTCACAGGCCAGGCAAAGTGCTGGACAGTATGGTGTTGGTGTGAATGATGAAACTCTTGAACAAATGGGCCTGGGAGAGCTTGCCCAGCTGACTGTCTCCAATGATGCAGAGGGCATGTATGATGATGCAGTCGCAAGCAAGGAGTCATACTCAAAGATGTGGAATGCCAAGTACACGCTGAGATCCCACTTTGATGGGATCAGGGCATTGGCCTTCCATCCCATTGAGCCAGTGCTGGTCACAGCCAGTGAAGATCACACGATGAAGCTGTGGAACCTGAAGCGCACTATTCCTGCCAAGAAGTCGGCGTTTCTGGACGTTGAGCCGATCTACACATTCCGCGGCCACGTGGGCGCCGTGCTGTGTGTCAGCATGAACCCGACCGGCGAGCAGTGCTACTCGGGCGGCGTGGACGGCACCGTGCGCGTCTGGAACGTGCCCAACTCCAACATCGACCCGTACGACGCGTACGACCCGGACGTGCTCAGTCTGACGCTGAGCGGCCACACGGACGCCGTCTGGGGCCTGGCCTTCCACACGCAGAAGCCGCAGCTGCTCTCGTGCTCGGCCGACGGCACCGTGAAGCTGTGGAGTCCCGGCAGCAAGGCGCCGCTGCTGCAGTCGTACGCCGCCGAGCCGGCCATGGGCGTGCCCAGCTCGGTGGACTTTGTGCACGAGGACTGCAGCCACATGGTGGTGGCCTACACCAGCGGCCGCTGCGCCGTCTACGACCTGGAGACGTCCAAGGTGGTGATGCAGCTCGAGTCCAACCAGAACGTGGAGGGCGGCGCGGCGCGCGACCAGCTCAACTGCGTCGTCTCGCACCCCACCATGCCGGTGACGGTGGCCGCCCACGAGGACCGCCACATCCGCTTCTACGACAACGTCACCGGCAAGGTGGTGCAGGCGATGGTGGCGCACCAGGACGCCGTCACCAGCCTGGCCGTCGACCCCAACGGCCTCTACCTGCTCTCGGGCAGCCACGACTGCAGCGTGCGCCTTTGGAACCTGGAGACCAAACAGTGCGTCCAGGAGATCACCGCGCACCGCAAAAAGAGCGACGAGAGCATCCACTGTGTCGGCTTCCACCCGACCAAGCCGTACATTGCGTCCGGCGGCGCCGACGCGCTCGCCAAGGTGTTCGTCTAGGCCGCGCAGAGGCGGCGGGCGGCTGTGCTGGACTCGAGGTGACGCCGCCGGACAGTGGGTGAACAGTGGACATGTGCGCCGAGTCATTGCGAGTGTGTGCGACTGATGATTCGTTTCTTTTTATGTCAGTCATTGAGCAGGTGATTTTAATGATAGGTTTCGTCCTCCGATTACCGATTATTGACAGTGCGCGAATTTTATGAGAATTCTGAGATTATACGACGGTGGTATTGATGGTGCGGCGGTGGCCGTCCCGTGGCCCACGACGCTGCCTCGTCAGCTGGACAGAGGTACGTCCTCGCCGCCGAATCTGGTGAGTTGGGCGCTCTGCGCTGATTGGTGCAGCCAACTTTTTGGATCAGTTCGCAGCAGGCGGCTCGTTTTCATCTTCCGTCGGCGCTGTCGGCTGTACTCACTGCGACTATTCGGGTAGAAACTAGTGCAACCTGCCGACAAATTGTTTTTTTGATTATGATTATGTGCATATTCAACACTCGGTAACGAGCCTAACGTGTTCCGTCTGCGCTCTTGATTTTGTAATTAACAGACCGCCCACCGGTGGTGCTACTTGAACCGTTTACTGCTGCGCTGATGGTTCTAAGTTGTATCTTGAGTTGCACACTTCCTCAAGCAGAGAAATAAATGATTCGATTTTCGCGGCGCATCTGCTCGGTGTGTAGCGTATATGTTTGTGGCGAGGGGAATGTGGGCGCTATAGGATAGAAGGATGACACTTCGTTTTTAACTTACAGCTGCGTGCTCGCCAGCCAAATTCATATCACGGTTTTGACGTGATTCACCTCAATGCGATATAAATTACATTCATATGCTAGTCTCAAAATAGCTCCCTTTGCGTCCTAAAACAGAATAATAACAACGCTTGTTGAATCATCGATGTTTATGACCAGTAGTCGTTGAACAAATGTAACATCGCCGAGTCATACGCAAAGCGGTCGCAGGCTAAAATCAAATGGAGCAAGCGACAGCAACACTGAAAGTGGAAAGGGTTCGGTCCTCGCTGACGGCGGCGTGCCGCGTGCCCCGGCGCTCGGCTATGCCGACCGCGGCCCGGATCCGGTCACACCGCTCAGCTGGCCAGCCGGCGGAACTTTTTGATGCGCTTCCACTCGCCGGTGATGTAGTTCATCTGGAAGTGAGTCTCGGCCAGGACGGCGGCGCTCTGGCCGGCGTCGGCGACCGCCAGCCGCTCGACCGACTCGGACAGTTTGATGGTGACCACGTCTCCCAGGTGCGGACACGGGTTCTCTGGCAGCGACGGAGTGGGAACGTAGCGTCAGTTGCTCAGTTTGAGACGGTAATTTGGTATTCTTTCAGACTGCAGCAGGGGGAGGTTTCTATGTCAGTCTCATTCAATAATTGCAAACACACTTCATTTATGAGCCAAACTGATATGCGACCAGCTTTGAAAACTGGAAGCGTGCGGTATATCGAACAATCGTTATTGTCAGGTCAAAGTGTCAAGAAAATGTCGGCAACACTCAACAGGAACGACACAACACCGGCTGCACGTAATCTCATTCAATCTCCCTCCCCCCCCCTCCCGGCACATATCATAACGCCCTGCCGCGACGATAAGATCAGGCTCGACGCGCTCTCCCCGCCCCGCCCCCTCCCCCTCCGGCAGGCCAGCTCAGATTACCCCCGCCGACGGACTACGCTCACGACCCGTCTCGCAGGTCGCTCGGTACCGGCGCCGGTCACCGCTCACCCCTGGAGCCGGCGATGAAGCCCAGGATGAGCGCCTTCTCCGGCCGGGTGGCCGTGTTGGCCGTGCTGAACATCTCCTGCGCCTCGAGCATCTGCTCCCGGGTCAGCGTCAGCGGCGGCCGGGCGGCGGCGGCCGCCTGCTGACCGGCGCCCGAACCGTGCAGCTCCGACTGACGGCGGTGAGTGAAGGGGATATGGGGCGGGGAGACGGCCAGAAGCATGGTGATTGATTGCAAGGCATACAAGACAGTTAATATGGCGAATCATTTCAGAGATGCAAACGACTAACAGTCAAATATGAGTGTCTTCAGTTAGCAGTACCCCGTTCATCGTGACTGGTTGAGGGAGGGAGGGTTCGGCACTGACATGGGTCTTCTTCGGCTGATTTCGTAGATGCCACCCATCTTTCCCTCACACGTTGGAGCTGTATGTTTTCTAGCATTGGTCCTGCTTCCAAATAATAATGTTTAACGCATTCACGACTAAAATTAAGAGCATGTCTATGGAGCGCCTTTGACGGTGAAAGCGTATGTAATATGCGCTATAGGAAGAATGCGACAAAGAACATCGAGGCTCATAAGGATCCCGGCGATTTATTTGTGGCGAGGATTCGCGATCGACTCCCACCAGACCGGCGATGGCGGTCCGCTCACCTCATTTGCCGCCGGCGGCGGCTGGGGCGCACACGGGGGTGGCGGCGGTGGAGGCGCCACTGGCTGCGGCGCGTTACCCTTGCGATCGGCGTCCACCACCCGCCGGAACAGCAGCTGAGGGACAGAGGCGGCTGGTCCAGCGGGATCCGCGGGTGGAGACGAGGTCGACCTACCCTCCCCTCCCAAACAGCACCGGGGTGACTCCCAGACAGCGCTGAGTCACCAGGTGTTCCCCAGCCGACACCAGGCTAACTGCCTTCCAGACAACAGCGAGCCACCATCCTTCCAAACAACCGCGGCGAACCAAAGAATGCTGCCTTTCAGACAACAGCGAGCCACTCTCCACAGACAGCTCTACGATACGCGGCCAGCTCTTCCCTAGACAGGACCCGATCACTGGCGAACTGACCTGCTCCAGATGTGAGCCGGAACACCCCGTGGCAGGACGGGCCGGCCGCTGCGCCGGCGGCTGCGGAGCGTACATGGACGGGCCGGGACGGTACGGGGCCGCGCTGACGCTGGGTCCGAGTTTGGGGACCGCGGCAGGCTGTGGGTCCACACAGGGCGGCCGCGCCAGCCCTGGAGACGGCAGCAGGTCACGAATCATTTGTATCTACTATCTGGTGATACGGGGTTAGCAGAGGGACAGCTCTGGCGACACGCCGATGATAAACGGACAGTAACACGTTACTGCATACGGAGAGTCCTGGCGACAGTCACTGATAGATGGATAGTTCTGGCGCCAGTCACTGATATATGTGATGTGTAGATGGATAGTCCTGGCGACACATAACCGACACATGGCCACCGACAGTCAGTGACACCTCATGGGCTCCCGCAGCCAAGCCGGATCCGTAAAGGCGGGCTTTGGAGTCTGGACTGACCTGTGACCGGGCCGCGTGCCGCCGGGGCTGGGACCGTAGCGGCCGGAGCCGGAGCCGGCGTGCACTGTAGGCCGGCGGCGTAGTCTGGTGTGGGCGCGACTGTCTCCTCCTGGGCAGCTTCCCCTTCCTCCGGCCCGCCGCCGCCTCGCGAGGACGTCCCACTCTCAGCTGGGACGGGGACAAAATGTGTCAATATGGGACTGGCTGTCAGTTGGGGAGACGGCGAATGTCTAGTCGGAATATTCTGACAGCTGTGCTAGACAAATTCCTGAAGTTCAGATAATCTAGAACATTTTCCTTCATCAGAATCACTTATCACTTCGTGATTAGTTACATATCGACCACTTGATCACCGAAAAACCCATCAATATCGCCTGCATTGCATACCCTCAGTTTGTCCCCCCCCCCGTGGTGACGGCGCCTGGTGCCGGGCGGCTCTCCCCACCTGAGGCCTTCCTGCGGCGCTTTCCGTGCGAGGCCGGCTGTTCAGAAATGTCTAGCAGTTTGACTGTTCGAGTCTGGTGCGGTAACAGCCCGAGCGAGGGCAGCGAACGGCGTCCCTCGCCGTCGCCGAGCGGCAGTCGGGACGGCGTCCGCAGCAGCCCTGCCGGCAGGCGGACACGGCTCATGTCGGGCCAGTGCTATATAAAAAAATAGTACACACTACACAGTTTCAACCAGGTCAGCACTGTCATAGGCACGAATCTTTGTTGTAGAAACACGTCGTTCTAAAGTAAGCAGTCTTGTATGCGGCCCCGCAAAACCGCTGGGCTGCCGTCTCTACTACGAGCAATGCGGCACAGCATATATTCAGGCGTTAACTGCTGCTGCCATCTAGTGGCAGTTATATAAGTAAGCGCCACCGCCAACTCACAGCCCGTTTTGGCTGAACTCAGGCACGCTCATGGGTTGTGATGCCCCGTCGCGTCTGTGACGCTCCATTGGCAGTGTAACGGCTGCGTGACGACGTCCACTGACCGGCGGTGTCGGGTCGGCGCGGCGCCGAGCGCGAGCGGACCGGTACGGCGGCGGCGGCGGCGGCGTGGCGCGCCAGCTGCGCCGCCGCCTCGTCTGCCCGGCGCAGCAGGTCGGCGCGGAGCGCGACTGCCCGCGGTTGGCGGCGCAGCTGGAAATGGCGCTCCGGCGCCTGGGGACACGGCAGGGGACGGGGACGGAGGAGTGGGACGGGTTACGGACGGGACGGGATGGGACGGTATCGTGGAACGGGTGACGGTTCACGGGACGGGACAGGTATCACGGCCGAAACAGATATGTACTGTGGAGCAGAGCGGTTCCCGGACGGGAGGGACGATACCACGGCATGGGTCTGGCGGGACGGTCACGGGCGAGAGACCGGTCACGAACGGACGGAATAATCATGGACGGGAGTCGGGACGCACCATGGATAACGCTAGTCCTTTTTTGATAGATGGCTGAGCCCTGATAAGTTGTCAATGCTGTTATTTGGTACTCACGACCTCGCTGAACGCCGTCTTGTTTAAATAATGGTGCTCCAGTGGGAGAAGGTTCAGGTCCAGGTCTCCGTTCACTGGGAGGAGGAAAACAAGGCGGTGAGAAATAGGGCGAGCATGACGACGACGAACCACGGACGTGATATTGCCAACTGCCAGGGGCATTATGTCACTGTTAGGTAAGTGTTTATATAGTTCACAAAACTCAACTATTAGCATAGCATGTTGAAGCAAAGCCCGCCGCATACTACATACTTTGTTTTCGCTTCAATTATGTGGGAAACAGTAGACTCTGACAACTGACAACCGACACTGACATAGCTCTTTTAGGTCGGCGACGAGATCCCGGAAGATGTTTTTATTTTCTTCCACCTGTCCGATGTCCGTGTTCAAACTTCCCGTGGCTGGGAAGGTTTGCAGCATTTCCGCCAACATGGAGACCCATTGATCCGAGTCACGGACGGCAGTCGCCAGCACCCCCTCCATCTCCGGGCGCCACTGAAAGAAACAGCGAGGGACGTCGCATGGGTGTCTTTAGGCTTGGTAGGCCCGAGCCTTACCAATAATTCTGGCATTTCAATATTATCGCTATGGCGTTGCATTCGGAGAATGGCTTTGGCATCTTTAAATAAAGCATTAACAGGCCTACCAATGAATTTCAGTCACCTCCGTGGGACATCGCCGGCATTTTAATCAGCACTTTCGCGTTCCAATGGTGCATAGTCGCGGTCATGGTTGGGGTCAGTTGGAACTCGGCAGACAAGGTTTTCAGGAGCCTGAGATTTAGAAGCCCTCTTTATGACCATAAGCAAGTGTAACTTGACATAACTTTTGTCAAAGTCCTACAAAAGGCTTACTCACATGCTAGCCATATTCGGTTGTTTTCATGCTACCATGATAACCAAATAACGTACGTAAACGGTAAAAACAAATGCCAGCCACATGACGGTGCAGCTTACCTCTTCGATGTGTTTTCGTGGGATATGTAAAAATGTCAGCAGCAGTTTCAGCTTCACCTGAGTCTGGAGCTCCATGAAACATTCCTGAATGTTTCGCAATACAGTTGCATTTAATTGAGAACAGATGGACCCGCCAATCCAAGTTTCATTTGACGTCCCCAGCTTGTTGTAAAGCCACAGTGATGTGTCACTGTCTCGTACGTTGGACATTTTTGCTCAAAAGATGCCTCTCACTGTATGCTTGCAAACTGCATTGAAAATGAAAGGTCAGTAATTGTAAGTACGGTATAATTGCAAGTTCCCTAAATAAAATTGCATGCCACACACGCGACCAACGAAAAGGCGGGAATCAAGGATTTCAAATTTGGCGGCGAGCCGGCAAGTCTTTTCGGAAGTAAACAAAAGCGTTGGTTTGTCTTTTGTTGCGGACCCCATATTCCCAATACTTCCCATTAGCGCCATTAGCCACCATGCTCAGGGGGATGTCGTCCCGGTTTTCCCCATGTATTATTCGCCAATCAGCTTAACACTACCAGTGACGTCACTGGTGGATCGCCAATCGGGGCCGGCCGGCCGGGCCCGTAGGAGGCCAAACGCAGACGTTTTCAGAAAAGCGTAAGCCGTATAGATACAGTCGCGGATGGAGTTTTGCTGTGATTCGGCTCTCCAAGAGTGCGTCAGCGGACCAGGACCCGGAAGGTCATAGTAAGGTCATAGTGAACCGGCATCTGATAAAATCCGCTTACGGCTTAGCAGCCGACTTCGACGGGACCCTTCGCCCTCGTAAAGCACAAAAGCTTGCCGGTCATCAATCCACCTGCATCTCCTCATCTGCTTAATGCCTATCTCGACCAGTTACTGCAGCCGTTTTGGAGCGACTCACGGTCGATAACACGCCGGGCGTGCGCTAGCCGCCGGTGCTAAGCGGCAAGCGCTAACCATTGAGTGCGCGTGGCCGACTGCCGCCCCGATGGCGCTGGCCCCTGGCACCGGCACTGGCGCGGCGCCGCTGACCCATGGGGGGGGGGGGCTGCTAATAAGTTGAGCCGGAATTGGGATAGAAGCCGGTATGGGATTGGGATAGAAACTCAGCGAGACTAAGGGATTGTGTTGTGCCTTCGGTAGGCCCCAAAAATCCCCGGTGTAGTGCCCTCAGGGCCGCCGGTTATGAAGCCTTTGGAGGCACTGGTGTGGGCCCTCACAGGTAGGTACCGGTGTGAGGCCCTCGGAGGCATTGGTGCGGGGCCCCAGAGGTACCGCTGTGGGCCCTCTGAGGTGCTAGTGTGTGACCCTCAGAGGCGCTGGTGAGGGTCCTCACAGTTGCCATTGTGGGCCCTCAACTGCAGTGTGGGGTCATCACAGCCGGGTGCGGGACCCTTAGAGCTGCTGGCTCGAACCCTTTATAAGCCGACAGGGGCTCTCAGAGACCGACAAGGGGCCCTCAAGAGGTCTGCGGTGTCTTCAGGAGCCCTGTTGAGTCCTCAGAGACCAGCAAGGTACTCTCAGACGCCGGTGGTGGCCCTCAGAGTCGTCGGTGTGGGGCCCTCAAAAGTGACCGGTGAGTGGCCGTCCGATGCGAAGGTCCCGTCTTAGGCCGTCAGAGGCTCCGGCGTTGAGCCCTCAGAGCCGCCGATATATGGCCTTAAGAAGCACTGGTTTGGGCCTTTGGAACTTCATTCAGGGGTGCCGGTTAAACTCAGAGGTGGCAGTGTGGGGCCCTCAGCTGGGCACCGGTTTGGGGTTTTCACAGCCACCGGTGAGGGCCCTCGCAGGCGCCGTTGTGGGGGCCTTCAACCATTGGGCCGTCAGAGGCTCCGGCGTTGAGCCCTCAGAGCCGCCGATATATGGCCTTAAGAAGCACTGGTTTGGGCCTTTGGAACTTCATTCAGGGGTGCCGGTTAAACTCAGAGGTGGCAGTGTGGGGCCCTCAGCTGGGCACCGGTTTGGGGTTTTCACAGCCACCGGTGAGGGCCCTCGCAGGCGCCGTTGTGGGGGCCTTCAACCATTGGTTTAGTTAGCGGGTCATCACAGGCGTGTGTGGAACCCTTAGAGCTGCTGGTCCCTGATAGGCCGGTAAGGGCCCTCAGAGGCCGGCAAGTAGCCCTCAGAGGTCGCCAATGGGCCCTGAGAGGCCGGCAAGGGGCCCTCAAATGCCGACAAGGAACAATAAAAAGCCGGTGTGTGGCTCTTATGGAGAGAAGTGTGGCTATTCGGAGCACATAAGGTGTTCTTTCGAGCCCTGTGGGGCCCTTCTGAGTCGAAAATGCCAGCGTGGACCCTCAGCCGCCAATTGGCGTCGCAGGGCCCCTCGGGCCCGAGAGGCCCCCTGATCCGATGGGGGCACGTGCTCCCTGTCCCCCCCCCTCCGGGTACAGATAAAGAATGCAATCGGCGGTGCAGGACACAACAATTGCAATCGTTCCTTTTCCCGTCGCGAGGTCGCCCATCCGACCCATGATTGTCAACCCTGGGGCTCGGGTCGGCAATGTATCGGCAAGGAAATCAGCTTTAGGTGGGTAAAAAAGTTATTAAGAGTCATTAGTTGTCGTTACGTTCAGTAATAACAACGATAAAGTGCCAAATGTACCCGACGTACGGCTTGGAGCCGGGCGCCGCGCGGTCTCCACCAGTGACGTCACGCTAATGCTTAGCGACCGGTCCATTGGAAATTGCGGGATGATTCTACCTCTCTTATACGGCCTTGACCATGCTCCATCTACGCAATATTTCTTTACTAATACATCTACGGTGCCGTCCCGTGTCTTCCGTTCGTTATTTTTATGCATACGAATTTTCGTCCGTGTTTACGTCACCCATATCGAAATGACTACTTGCTCACGGACTTGCTCAATTCGACAGTGTTGACAATGACACAGCCACCTTCCCAGTGTTGACAGTGAAACAGACACCGTCCCACTCACAATATTTATCGAGGCACTGCTACTGATCCGATGAGTACCACTGACTTGCAGACCATCCCAAAAGCATCCGATAAACGAGACAAAAAGAAAGGCTCGAATCGAGCTCATATCACGGGTCGCCTCAGATTTCAGAAGACGGATATCCGAGCCACTGGGGAGAGCTTAGTTTCGTCGCCACAGTACACAGTACGAAGCCTCGGTTACCTTTATCATGAAAACGTTCTCGGATGAAACCCAGTGGCCACCTTTCCCGCAGGCAATGATACGAGAGACAGGATCTCATCAATCTGTTCCAGTCGGTGTCACACACTGCAAATTGACACTGTGTAAACAAGCAGCTGAATAAATTATGCATATATTAGTAACACTTTCCAGTACATATAATTTAACACTCGTCTACAAAAGAATAACGCACGTTCCAGGCAGCTCGCACTCTGACTATGTAGTCAAAGGTTAGAAAAAAAAAACGAGCGAGGTACGGCTCGAAAGCGTCGCCGCCAACGCACCTGCCCAACGTCTCACCCGAGCCCATATATTCCAGCGCATAAAGGTTGCTCTCAACACCAGCCCCGTAAAACCAAACAAGCCTCTTGGAGAGGTACACCAGTCGCGACCATAGCCCAGACGCTCGGGTGGCAGAGAGCCTGGCCGAGATTTCCACCAGAGAGCGCGTCCCAGCGCAGCACCGAACCACAATCACCGGCAGCGCCCGGTGACGCACCACAGCGGCTTCCCCAGGACCGGGGGGGGGGAGGGGCACAGGCAGTGGGGGGAGGCAGGGTGAGCGATCCACACACCCTGCTACTATCAGCAGCTCCCAGGGAAGACACTATGTCCACTCACGGCGGCACAGCCAAAAGGGCCCACCCGGGGTCCCGGTAGGGGGGCGCACACCACACAACGCTAAGGCACCGCACTGTCGACCTGAGCTCCAATGGCCGGGGGTGAGTTGACGGCCGTCCGACCGCTCCATGGCCGCTCAGGGGTCCGATCCGCAGTCGTCCGCAAACGGCACGTCCGCCACGCCAGCGCCCAGGGCCGCCGCCTCCTCTGACCCTGCCGGACAGAACGGCTCCGCTGTGAACAACCGCCCACCGCTGCCGCCGTGCGCAGCCATGGTGTGCGACGTGCGTACTATTAAATGAAAACAAAAACAAACATTCCATAATTAGTTTTAAAAATTCGCACATTTTCTCTATTTAAAGAGAAGTATGTGATGAAAAGCAAGAAAGAGTAAAAACATCAGTGCCTTCTGCGATGAATGTAATCAAACGCTTTTGTTTTACGTACATCGATCATCAATGTGAGAGTTCTAGCGCAAGGATTGCTAAAGGAGGAGCAGCCAGCATTGTTTCGGCTAACGAGGCTGATAGAGTATCTGCAAAGTTGCCGCTTACAGTTACCAGTGATAGGCTATCTAAACATTTGGATTTTGGTGATTCATGGGTGTACGGGTGCCGGAACTATGGCAAGGTGCCCATATCTTCAAACGCTTCAGCGCGCCAACCAACGGAGCGTCACTTTTCAATCGTGCTAAGCAGCAGATCTAAGTGTGGTTGTGCTAATTTTACCCCGCAATAGTCCACCTGTTAACAGCGTTCGGTCTCTTGCCCTGCGTTCCGGATGCCCTGACGGTACCTTGTGTTTGATCATCAGCTCGTTGACTGGACGAAGACGGCTCGTCCGCGGTCGAATCCGACGGAGGCACGGGCGCGGCCGCCTCCATTGGCACAGACGGACCTGACTGCCCTTCAGACTCCGCCGCCGGACCCTGGGACTCCGGACCCGGGGACTCCGCCGGCTGTGTGTGCGGCTCCTCCGCCGGCGCCGACTCGGGCCCCGGCCGGTGTGCCGCGGCCTCCGCCAGTCTGTCCGCCGGCGGTCCCTCCGCCCCGTCCGGTGGGTCGGAGCCCGCAGCGGCCCGCTCTGTCCGTTCCTCGACACGCTCCGCCGGTGCCGCAGAGGATTCGTCCGCCCGGTCGGCCGGCTGCTCCGCCTCGGAGGTCGGCCGATCGCTAGTACGTTCACCCTCAGTCTCGCTCTCACTCGTCTCTGCAGAAGGAAAACACGACACACTAGAGAACACGGCAAAATAAAATAAAATAACTACGAGCACAGAAATCGTATCTTTCACACACCAATATTCCACATGTTCATATTCCACACCGCACGCATGCAAGTATGTTCAAACACACTAAGTACTGACAGTTATTCTTCTAGCACAATCATTGGTCTCGCACCAAGGCTATTCATCCCATGGAAATGATCATGAGCAGAATTATGGTGATACAACAGTTTCCAGCCGAATGTCAGGAAATCAAAAGGTACCAGCCTAGGGCGATAGAAAGGGGTTAGGGCGGTGATACGACGATAGGGCGGTGATAAGGAAAAAAAGGTAGCGGGGCGGTAGATGGGGCGCTTTCATCGGGCATGTCACTCGCTCTTATCAGTCGTACTAGACTCGCTCTCACCGGCCGCGTGTCAGACTCCACTATGTTACGTCAGACTCCACCATACGCTCACCGGTTGTATCAGACTCTACCATGCGCTCACCGGTTGTATCAGACTCCACCATGCTCTCACCGGTTGTGTCACCGGTTGTGTCAGACTCCACCTTGCGCTCACCGGTTGTATCAGACTCCACCATGCGCTCACCGGTTGTGTCAGACTCCACCATGCGCTCACCGGTTGTATCAGACTCCACCATACGCTCACCGGTTGTGTCACCGGTTGTGTCATACTCCACCATGCGCTCACCGGTTGTATCAGACTCCACCATGCTCTCGCCAGACGTGGGCGCTGCCGGCAGCCGAGGCGCCGACGGCCGCTGCTTGCGGGCGGGGTTCCACGCGAAACAGTAGCTGCATCGAAACGCTGCGGACAGGCAGACATGGTCGGGGCACAGTGAGCCAGACGCACGCCCGGTCGATGGAAACGGCAGGTCTGGTCCATGACTTTAAATTTAAAGCGAATGCGCAAACTTTGTTTTACTAAGAGACGTGCAAGCAGCAGATGTACAAACTCCTTAAAACCAGTATAACGCCTTTTGGGGCGACTAACGGAGCGAGCGATAGGGTGGGCCTTGCACGTGCGAAATTGCGAGGGGGTACCTCCAACTGACTTGTGCACGGCACCCTACTAACTGGTCTCTAGCGATGTGCCAAATTTGGGCACAATCGGCCCAGCCGTTCTCGAGATCTGGAAGCGGCACCCTGCACGTGCGCACGTGCAAAATGGGTCCCAACTGACTTGTGCACGGCACCCTACTAACCGGTCCCTAACCGTGTACCAAATTTGAGCGCAATCGGTCCAGCCGTTCTCGAGATCTGGAAACGACCCCTGCACGTGCGCACGTGCAGCAGCACCCCAACTCTGGCACATGTATATGCAGTGCCTAGTGGGTGCCTACCTACATGCCAACTTTCAGCGCAATCGGCCAAGTAGTTACCGAGATATTGCAACAATTACAAAAGTGACACCTCTTCGTTTTGCACGTGGCACGTGCATAAGGGGTCACCCACATGCTTCGGGAATAGTCCAATACTTGGTAGAAGGAATGAAGCTACCCTACAAAAATTACCGCGTGTAAATCGGTCAAGTGGTTGCTGAGATATAAGCCTCGCAAAAGCGTGACCACGGCCGGCCGGCCGGCCGGCCGCTCATACTCAGAAATTTCCGTTAATCTAAGGAAAGACTACGCTCGCTTCGCTCGCTCCGTAACTAAAAATGTACGAAATATTCCGTTGGTCTAGGGAATACGTCACAATGCTAGTTTATTGCTTTTAGGGGAAATACCTACAAAACTATCAGACCTTGAGAACTCCCAATGCCAAACGAAATGATTAAATTTGGTAAAGAAGTAATGCCGAAATTAATAACAAGTGTCTTTGTGGGACCAACTGGCGACAGCAGCTCCTTTCTCAAGGTTAAAGACGGGATGGGGAGGCACACATATACCAAAAAGCTACGCGTTTATGAGGGGATCTGAGAGCACCAGAACCGAGAACCCCGGGAGCTCGCGACTCCTACCGGGCGAGTGGGGCGTGGCGGGGCCACTCACCGAGGTACTCGAACTCCTCCTTGAGCGCCATGCCGTTGTGGCTCTGGCACTGGCAGCAGATGAGCGCGTACCGGTTGGCCGGCCCGTCGCCCACCAGGTAGTCGAGCATGCGGTCCATGATGCCGCGCTCGCGGGGCAGCACCGGCCGCGGCAGCGGCGGCCCCGCGCGCGGCCCTGCGGCGCACAGACACGCGGGTCAGGCCGGCGGCCGGTCGTGGGATATGGTGTGACCGAGTGCGGTTTGTGATAAATAGATATACAGCATCCCACCAGTTGACGGCACTATCATTAACTGACAAAATAAAAAGTTAATTGGCGAGATTTACACCAGTAAAACGCCTTTTGGGGCGACTAACGGAGCGAGCGAGAGGGTGAGCCTTGCACGTGCGAAATTTCGAGGGGGTACCTCCAACTGACTTGTGCACGGCACCCTACTAACCGGTCCCTAACCGTGTACCAAATTTGAGCGCCATCGCTCCAGCCGTTCTCGAGATCTGGAAGCGATACCCTGCACGTGCGCACGTGCAAAATGGGTCCCGACTGACTTTTGCACGGCACCCTACTAACCGGTCCCTAACTGTACCAAATTTGAGCGCAATCGGTCGAGCCGTTCTCGAGATCTGGAAACGACCCCTGCACGTGCGCACGTGCAGCAGCACCCCAACTCTGGCACATGGATATGCATTGCCTAGTGGGTGCCTACCTACATGCCAACTTTCAGCGCAATCGGCCCAGTAGTTACCGAGATATTGCAACAATTACAAAACTGACACCTCTTCGTTTTGCACGTGGCACGCGCATAAGGGGTCACCCACATGCATCGGGAATAGTCCAATGCTCGGTAGAAGGAATGAAGCTACCCTACACAAATTACCGCATGTAAATCGGTCAAGTGGTTGCTGAGATATAAGCCTCGCAAAAGCGTGACCACGGCCGGCCGGCCGGCCGGCCGCTCATACTCAGAAATTTCCGTTAATCTAAGGAAAGACTACGCTCGCTTCGCTCGCTCCGTAATAACTGGTCGGATATCAGAGTTCTCTCCCAAACTACTACTAGTTTAATAATGCAACATCCCGGCGCCAAAGACGCCATGGACAAGGCAGACTATCGTTCGCCGATGCCCGGCTGTCCAGCTGGGCTATCCCGCGGGTCTCGCGGGGTCTGCCGGAGCGACTCACCGCCCATCTGAGGCTGCAGCGCGCGGCCCGGGACGCCCGACAGCGGCGACTGCGCCACCAGGCCGCCGACGGGCGCGTACCGTCCGGCACCTGCCGACCAGAGCGCTGTCACTCGCCGTCCACCTGACACCGGCACCGCACCGGCCACAGCGGCGCCCGCACGCCGCCAGCACACTCAGAGATTACCGACTAGCGGTCAGTGAGACGTGGCAAAGACGCTGTAGGATACCGAGTGATTACTGGTGCTTGTCCGACCATCAGCAAAAAGAAACGGTCAGCGGCCGACCGCAGGTCGACATTGACATTGTGTGCTATAAAACTCATAGCAAACGCGCCGTATATCATCTTACTACAACAGCAGCCTAGCACCAGGGTTAAAACAGTCAATCTAGGAAGTATATAATTCAGAGCACCGACCTGGCTGGGGCGCGCCGCGACCTAGGGGAGTGTCCGGCACCGGAGTCCGAGCCACCGCCGCGCTGGCCGCCAGCTGACGGTGGCGCGCCACTGAAACAACGAACACGTATGAGCGCACGGTCTCGGGAACGTTTGTCATCACAGTGTCACAATGATGGTGGCGCGTCTCCGGCGACAGATCCGGTTAGTGGCACGTTTTAGAGGGACAGTTGAGTTGTCAGTCGCCACGTCCTCTCGTTATAGTCTCTGAGGGTACCTACACGGACGGCAGCCGAAACTTACCGGCCAGACTGCCAGTCTGCTGGGCGGGCGTGGACGGACTGCCTGTCGGCCGCAGCTGTCGACAAACGCCACAAAGCAGTCAGCCGGTCAGCCAATAAACCAATTAAACATGCTTTGTTCGCATTCAGCATACAATAATCATCATACGATTGTCACCTTATACGAATAACCAACTGAGACATACACAATAGAACGTGAGCAGTAAAGAAAAAACAGGATACCCAAATCACATTTTAGGTGAATGTGAAGCTAATCAGCTTTAAGCGACTAATGACCAGGTTCATAACATCATGTATTGTAGACATTGGACATCACTCCGCAACAGTTATCAGCTTACCGGAGATCGTCTCAGCTGTTCGGGGGCAAATTTCTCCAAAATCTGTTTGGCAACTTTGTAAGTTTCCTTATCTTGAACCTCTTCCAAGATGGTTTCCTTCTTCTTTTTTAATGAAGCTAATTTCAGTTCATTTTTCGATATCTTCCTTCCATAATACCACATTAACAGCCTCTTGAGTAAGAAGACCCTGTAAACACAACAACAGACTTACTTTTTCCAATTTCACATCTTGATAGAACTCAAGGAATGTCAGGACTCTAGTCAGAGAACAATGAACACTCAAAACTTACACAGCAGGGAGCACTAGTCCATCAGACACTCGCACAGCGGGGAACACTAGTGAATCGAACACTCACAAAGCGGGGAACACTGGTGAATCGAACACTCATACACAGCGGGAAACACTGGTGAATCGAACACTCACACAGCGGGGAACACTGGTGAATCAAACACTCACACAGCGAGGAACACTGGTGAATCGAACACTCACACAGCGGGGAACACTGGTGAAGCGAACACTCACACAGCGGGGAACACTGGTGAATCAAACACTAACACAGCGGGGAACACTGGTGAATCGAACACTCATACACAGCGGGGAACACTGGTGAATCGAACACTCATACAGCGAGGAACACTGGTGTATCGAACACTCACACAGCGGGGAACACTGGTGAATCGAACACTCACACAGCGGGGAACACTGGTGAATCAAACACTCACACAGCGGGGAACACTAGTGAATCGAACACTCACACAGCGGGGAACACTGGTGAATCGAACACTCACACACAGCAGGGAACACTGGTGAATCAAACAATCATACAGCGGGGAACACTGGTGAATCGAACACTAACACAGCGGGGAACACTGGTGAATCGAACACTCACACAGCGGGGAACACTGGTGAATCGAACACTCACACACAGCAGGGAACACTGGTGAATCAAACAATCATACAGCGGGGAACACTGGTGAATCGAACACTAACACAGCGGGGAACACTGGTGAATCGAACACTCACACACAGCAGGGAACACTGGTGAATCGAGCACTCACACACAGCGGGGAACACTGGTGAATCAAACACTCATACACAGCGGGGAACACTGGTGAATCGAACACTCACACAGCGGGGAACACTGGACGTGAATCGAATACTCACACAGCGGGGAAGAGAAGGAGCGCGCCCACGCAGAGGAGGCGCGTGGTCATATCGTCCGGAAAGTAGTGGTAGTAGAGGAGAACGCCGGCGGCCACGTAGAGCACCACAGAGTAGGCCACGATGACGGCGGAGACGCGCTGCTGGCGGCGGCGCGTGCCCGTCTTGTACTCCTCGATGGCCGCCATGTCGTCCTCGATCTGCTGCAGCACCTCGATGGTGGACTGCTTGCGCTGCGGAGCGGGTGGCCGCGCGGGAGGTCAGCCGGCCGGCCCCCAGTGCTCCCAGTGTACCCACGGTTCGACTGTGTGCACTGTAGCCGGGGTACGGCAGACGCAGGTACTGTCGTGGATCACAATGCAGCACATCGAACTCCATGTCTGATCAAAATAATACCGGATCAGGAGATCAAAACAAGGTTTTATGCAGCGCGAAGTAGATATGTATTTGTAATTGTAACATCCGTTCACATTGACATTGGAGTATTAAATGACCTATTTACTGAATCAAGGAATAGCTAAAATTTTAACTAGTCTGAGAAAAATTGAATGGTGCCATCCCACCCTCATCAGTCCGACCACTTGGCCTCTAGGTCCAAAAGGCTTGGACAAACTCACTCACTGAAAAGAGGTTCTGCTGAACTTTGTTGATCAGCATTTGCATGCCTTTCATCCCCCAAATGTGAACATTTTTACACACACACGCACGCGCACACGCGCACGCGCACGCGCACACGCACACACACACACACACACACACACACACACACAAATGAAACTAGCCCAACAGGATGTGTTTACAATGTACCAGACCAACCAAGTCCTGGGTTAGGGCAAATATTCTAAAAGGCCGACAGCTGAAAGGGAAACATATCGACCCAAACATTGATAAATATCACAACTTAACCCGCGCCCTGGTGGGGGGGGGGGGCTATTTTTGCCCCCCCCCCAGACTTTTCGATATATCTCCAGAACCGCTGCGCCGATCGTCACCAAACTTTCAGTACCCTCCCGGACATCAATTTTACACATTGTGACCAATTTTTTTTTAAGACTATGATAGGTTGGCCGGAAATGACGTCAGAGTGACGTCATGTTCTGCCGTTTTCGACCCAAAAAAGGGTTTCGCGGGAAGAGCTGTCAGGCCTATAGCTTTGCAAATACAGAAAAATGATAAAGACATAAAAGCTGTAGAATTGACAGAGCTACAAAAATTATATCTCGGATTTGTGAAATTTTTGGATTTTGACACCCAAAAATAAAAAATAGATTTTTTGAATAGAATAGCCGAAAAATCCAAAAAGTTTTTTGAATTTCGAAAAAACGGAATATATGTGATAGTCCTTACCGCCTTCTATCCAAATATACAATTTGAGATCGATACCTCTTTTTGGCCAAGTTATAGCGAAAAAACTGTTCAAAATTGATGACGTCACATTTTCAAACTCAATTTTTAGCATTCTATACCCCGTAGCGCAAAACAAAGACCACCATTAAACTCCTCGTGACGAGCTGCATCGAATCAATACCCATTTTATGCAAAACTATCAACTTTAAAATTTGACCTTTTTTGACCTGACCTTCACCAGAGACTAGAGAGTGACCTAAGCCGTACCTGATGGTCTTATAACCAACACCATTGAGTTGGAAATGAAAAATTGGCCATAAAACATTCATCGCACAACCTTAGTAAATTTGGGTTCATGTGACCTGACCTGTGACCCTTGGTGACCTGACCTGTCACCTGATCTGGTATTGTCAGTGACTAATAGCAACATGTGTAGGTACTAGGCAACTGATGTCCTATCGCTGATTCTCGAAAAAATGCGTTTTCCTCGGTGTTATAGCGCATTCCCTAGAAGACCCGTGAACGGTGAAACATTTCATCTTTGACCTGCCCTGTGACGTCATCGGTGATCCCGATGTGGTAACTTGCACCTCTAACTGGCCGGCCGGGCGGCGGTCGCACCTCTAGCCGGCCGGCCGGCCGGCGGTCGCTGGTCAGCTGACCGCCGTGCGGCCGCACCGCCTGGGGCTGTGGGCGGACTGGGCCTGCGTGCCGAAGCTGGGAGCTGGCAGTCAGTGCGGTACGGATCTGTGTGAGTGAATACATGTCCCGCAGATATGCCTCTTTAACAATTGGCGACGAGGACAATTACGAATTTAATTTTGTTGAGGCATGGCGGGCGATTCAAGAGGAAGAGGCTTTGATGCTTTCAAGCCTGGTGAGGATAATTGGGAAGAGTGGAAGGAACGTCTGGAATTCTACTTGGAGTCTGAAAATATCACCGAGAGTGACAAGAAGCGTTCTGTGTTGCTCACCGTGTGTGGTAAGGAGACGTACTCTTTGGTGAAGAGCCTGGTATCGCCGAACAAGGTGAGAGACGCATCTTTCGATGATATTGTCTCGTTGTTGGACCGTCATTTGCAGCCAAAGCCGTCTGTGACAGTGGCGCGCTTTCAATTTAACATGTGCGTAAGGAAGAGCGATCAGACTGTGTCTGCTTACATTGCTGAGCTGCGTCGTCTCACTGAACACTGTCAGTTTGGCGTCACATTGGACGACATGTTAAAAGACCGCCTTGTGTGTGGTGTGAGTGATGGGCAGATGCAGAAAAGGCTGCTAGCTGAAGATGAACTGACTTTTGCTCGTGCACAAAAGCTGTGTCTGTCCATGGAGGCTGCTTCCAGAGACGCAGGCATTCTGACTGGCACGTCCACACGAGCGGTCGAGCCGTCTGGGGAAGGAGCTGTCAACAGGATGGACCAGCAGTTCTCGAGCTGCTCACGCTGCGGAAGACGGCACGGTCGAGACAGATGTCGTCATACGGCGACGACCTGCTTCAAGTGCGGTAAGGTTGGCCACCTTGCGCGGGTGTGTCGTGATACGAAACCGAACCTACCTGGAAAGAGGCAGTTCAAATCATCATTTGATAAGAAACGTGATGGGGATGCGAGATATGTTGCTGAAGGACCTGAAGGAGGGACACGGGAGCATGAGCTGTCAGAGCACTCAAGATTCCGATTTGGAGCAGATCAAAACTGTCATTCACGCTGTCAGTAACAAAAAGAAACCGGCAACGGTGACTGTTGGGATAGAGGGCGTGGATGTTGTGATGGAACTGGATACGGGTGCTTCTTGTTCTATCATAAATGAGTCTACTTACAAACAGCTGGAGTCGACCATCAAGCTGCAGGCGCCCCAGTCGGTCCTCAGGACCTACACGGGACACAAGATACCTGTGCTGGGCGAGGCTGTGGTGGACGTCCGCTACGGCTCCAACGAATGGTGGCTTCCCGTCATCGTCACGAAGGGAAGTGGTCCGAATCTCCTGGGACGAGACTGGCTGAGTCACATTCAGCTGGATTGGAGAAGCGTCTTCTCGGTGAGTACCGAACGCCCCGTGCCTGTCGTCGATAGGTTCAAAAATCAGTATCCTCAGGTCTTCGAGCACGGTCTGGGTGAGCTAAGAGATGTCAAAGTCAAGCTTGATGTAGATCGCACAGTACATCCAAGATTTTTCAAGCCCAGACCTCTGCCTTTTGCAATCCGAGAAAAGGTAGATAAACAGTTGAAGAAGGAGATAGCTATGGGTGTGCTGGAGCCAGTCTCAAACTCTGAATGGGGGGCAGCTATTGTACCCGTGCTGAAATCTGATGGAAATGTGAAGATCTGTGGAAACTTTAAACTTACCGCAAACAAGGCTGTCCGTGTAGACAAGTACCCACTGCCTCGGATCGAGGAGATTTTCAGCCGCCTGGCAGGCGGAAAAGTGTTCTCAAAACTCGATCTCAGTCAGGCATACCAGCAGCTGGTAGTTGATGATTCTTGCCGAGATGTGCTCACCATTAATACCCACCTGGGTCTCCATCGCTATCGCAGAATGCCATTCGGTGTCAACTCGGCTGTAGCGCTCTTCCAGAGAGAGATGGAAAAACTTGTTGGAGACATGTCTGGTGTGTGTGTGTACCTGGACGATGTGCTCATCGCCGGAAGCTCCGAAGCTGACTGTTTGGAACGAACCTCACAGGTATTGCAGAGATTCCAGGATGCTGGCCTGAGAGTTTCGGAGAAGAAGTGTCGCTTCTGCGTCGACGAGGTTGAATACCTGGGACATCTGATCGACGCTGCCGGCTGCCATCCATCTGGGAAGAAGGTGAGAGCCATCCATGAAGCGCCAGCTCCTGAGAATGTTGGGCAGCTTAAAAGTTTTCTGGGGATATTGAACTACTATTCCCGGTTCTTGCGCGATCGTTCAAATGTCCTGAAACCGCTACATGACCTCCTTCGAAAAGACACCCCCTGGAGGTGGAAGCACGCAGAGGAGCAGGCCTTCAAAGCTGCAAAGAAGCTTCTCACTTCTGATGGGGTTCTGGCTCACTATGACCCTAGCCTCCCCTTGGTTTTGACCTGTGACGCATCTTCGCATGGCATCGGTGCCGTTCTTTCCCACCGGTATGATGATGGGGTGGAAAAACCCGTTGGTTTCCACTCCAGGTCCCTGAGTAAAAGTGAACAGAAAATGAGTCAAGTAGAACGTGAAGCCTTAGCTATCGTATTTGGTGTTACGAGATTCCATCAGTACTTGTTCGGTAACCAGAAGTTCATCCTGGTCACGGACCATAGACCTTTGCTGAAGTTGTTCAGGGAGAACGAGGGCATCCCTATGATCGCTTCTGCCAGGATAGCGCGGTGGGCCCTGCGACTCTCCGCCTACAACTACAAAATAGAGTACAGATCGACTGCGAGTATCGGTCACGCAGACGGTCTCAGTCGCCTTCCGCTGCCTGTAGATGGTGACCGCCTCCACGAGCCCGCTGAAAGTGTCTGTCTGTTGCAGAGCGTCGAAGACGACCTGTCGCTGGATGCCGGGAGGATCGCTCAGCTCATCAGTCGTGACGCTCTCCTCAGCAGGGTGCTGACCGCCGTCCAGTACGGAGAGTGGCCGGAGGACCAGAGCCTGCAACCATACCGGATCAGGAGAGATGAACTGTATGTTATCCGAGGGGTCTTGCTCTGGGGCAACAGGGTGGTGGTGCCACATAAGGCGTGGGAGTATGTGCTGAGAGAACTCCACGTGGGCCACCCGGGTGTCAGCAGTATGAAGTCTGCAGCACGTTCATGTGTGTGGTAGCCTCGCATTGATGATGCCATCGATGCCTACGTTCGCTCTTGTTCCGCCTGTCAGCAGCAAAGAGCGATGCCTGCCAAAGTTGACCTTCATCAGTGGTCCTGGCCACGAAGGCCGTGGTCTCGTGTCCATCTTGATTATGCAGGCCCTGTGGAAGGAGGAAAATACCTGCTGGTCGTAGTAGATGCTATGACCAAGTGGGTGGAGGTGAAGATCACGTCTTCACAGACCTCGTGTGTGGCCGTTGACAGGTTCAGATCTCTGTGCACCATCTTCGGACTGCCGGATACCGTGGTGACCGACAACGGGCCAGCCTTCGTGGGCAGAGAGTTCCAACAGTTCGTCAAGAGGAACGGCATCAGGCACGTCACGACGGCACCGCATCATCCGGCGAGTAATGGTCTCGCGGAGAGGTACGTGAGGGAGGTGAAGTGTGCTCTTAAGAAGTCTGTTGATGTGTCATTGCACCTAAGAGTTGCTAACTGGCTAATTAAGCAGCATACTACCGCTAGTTCTACCACTGGTGTGTCCCCTGCATACCTGATGTTCGGTCGGGAACTAAAAACACGGCTGCAGCTGCTGCATCCAGACGTGGCGGGTCAAGTGGAGCGTCGCATGGACTCTCAAAAGCGACACTATGACTCTGGCCGTCGCCCTAAGAGTGTTCTCGTGTCCGACAGGGTTTATGCGAGGAGCTACGGCGCCGGCCCGGCCTGGCGGGCCGGAACGGTGGTGGACCTGGCGGGTGGCGCCATGGCCAGCATCCGTCTGGATGATGGGCGTGTCTGGCGGCGGCATCTCGATCAGTTGCGTCCCATCGCTGATCTATCTCCGGCTTCTGATGTGAGCGCGCCAGTCCCGTCTCCGCCTCTGGACCAGTGTGCAGCGCGGCGACTGGCTGGACCACTGCCGGTGGTGGAGGAGCCGGCGGCGGCCGCGCGCAGGCCGCCTGACAGTGCGGTACCTGACAGTGTGGTACCTGCTGGTGCTCCTGCCGTTCCTGCGGGTCAGCTGGCGGAGGAGAACGGAAGTACGGCCGCCCGGGCCAAAGACTCCGCAACTGAGCTGCCACCTGGGACTGATCCAGACGATCTGGCTCCGTCCCTCCGGCGCTCCACACGAGTTCGGAAACAGACTGACTTTTTCCGGTTCTGAGTGTCGGCTGCGGCCGCTGACTGAAATGTACTTCTAACTGCTTGGGTTGTGAACTGGTGTTCGTTCTTCCTACAAAAGACAGTTGTTGATCTTTAAAGGGAAGGGCGAGTGTGGTAACTTGCACCTCTAACTGGCCGGCCGGGCGGCGGTCGCACCTCTAGCCGGCCGGCCGGCCGGCGGTCGCTGGTCAGCTGACCGCCGTGCGGCCGCACCGCCTGGGGCTGTGGGCGGACTGGGCCTGCGTGCCGAAGCTGGGAGCTGGCAGTCAGTGCGGTACGGATCTGTGTGAGTGAATACATGTCCCGCAGATATGCCTCTTTAACACCCGAGGTCAATGAAATTTGGTTTTCTTCGACAAATTTGACAGGCCTTTCGAACGCCGTTTGAACTTTGCGGATCGGTCCAGTAGTTTCGGAGATATGAGGGGGGGGGGAAATAGCCCCCCCCCCCTTCCCTCACCAAGTCGCGTTATAAACAGACCCCACCAGGGCGCGGGTTAAATCTCCCAAAGGCAAACATATTAGCAGCTCATTTCAACTTACCCGAAATCGTGAAAATATGATGCCCATGTTTTCTTAAAAAGCAGAAACTTTAGGCAGCTGTGGTGTGATCCAATTAGCTTATAATAGATTGCTGTGAAAACAGGAAGGTAGGTTATTAACAAGATATTCATGAATTGCACATTTTGGGCATGGCCCACTTAAGACAATAAAGTACCCTACCCACAACAAGCCACTACAATACACAAGAAATCCATAATTAGCACAAAGGGCTGACAAGAGTCCACGATGTCAGTGTCTACACTAAAATAGAAACGATAGGCAAACAGCTGCCTAAAACCACAAGAAAATCGTGAAATTCTGCAAGGATTCCTAGTTCAAGTTGCACCACTTGAAAGCACTGCACGCATACATGCATACCTACCTACCTACCTAGTACCTACCTAGCCCAGGTTGAGCTGATTCTGTGACAAATTTGAGTGATTTTCCCCTTTTCAGCCCCCTAGGAACTGGAGGAATTGACAAAATAAAAACATGAAAAGAAAGAACACATCCTTTCTACCTTCAAATTGATACCACACATCAATGCTCACAATACTTTTTACACACAACATTCAAAAGCTTTATTGTATGCTTGGCCTATTGAAATACATTAGCTGGAAAGGTGTGGCGAGTAAACTGGTGTACTGTAAAATAATAATAATAATAATAATAATAGTAAAGTGGGGCTATTTGAAACGGATTTAAAAGTTTTTGAAATTTCCCTTAAAACGGTTGATATTTCCTACCTACTTGTCAGAATGAAGATTATACTGTAAACCTGCGTGACAATGATAGTCGGGGTGACTATGATCATAGACCAATTTGGGGCCTAAAATGAGCATTTTGCAGCTGTGAACTGTATTTTCTATGCCAATGGTTATTACGAGCGAGCGAGCGCAGCGAGCGAAGCGAGTCTTTTCAATATAACGGAAAAATCTCAGTATGGGCGGCCAGGCCCGGCCCGGCCTGTAACGCTTTTGAGAGGCTTATATCTCAGCAACCGCTGGACCGATTGGCCTGCGGTCTTTTTTGCTGGGTAGCCCCATCCCTTCTACCCCGTAATTGACTACTTTTGATACATCTCAGTGACCGTCGTGGCACGTGCCACGTGAAAAGTCAAGGGTGTTCAAGCTGTTTTGCAAAAGTAGTGATTTTGAGAGGCTCATATCTCAGCAGCCGCTTGAGCGATTGACTTGCGGTAATTTTTGTAGGGTAGCAGCATCCCTTCTACCAAAAATAGGATACTCTCGATGCGTTTGGGTCACCACCAATGCACGTGCAAAATACAACAATAAGAGGTGTCAAATTTGTTCCCATTTTAATAACTCGGTAATTACTGGGGCGATTTCGCTGAAACTTGGCATACAGGTAGGCACCCACCAGGCGATGCATTCCCATGTGTTGCGGTTAAGGTGCTACTGCACGTGCGCACGTGCAGGGGGCGCTTCCAGATCTCGAGAACGGCTGGGCCGATTGCGCTCAAATTTAGTACACGGTTGGGGACCACTGACCAGTTAGTAGGGTGCCGTGCAAAAGTCAGTTTGGACCCCGTTTGCACGTGCGCACGTGCAGAATGCCACTTCCAGATCTCAGGAACGGCTGGGCCGAATGCGTTCAAATTTGGTACACCGCTAGCGACCGGTTAGAAGGGTGCTTTGCGCAAGCCCGTTGGAAGTACCCTCTCGCCCTTCCCCTGCGCGTGTCCGCACGTGCAGGGCTCACTATCTCGCTCGCTCGTTCTTCGCCCAAAAGGCGTTTTACTGGTATATGTAAAGCAATGCAGCATTATAGCAGACACTTTAGTCCCAGTTAAAAGTCATGTTCATGTTTCATGTCATGTTCATGTCATGTTCACAGATTGTTTTTTTTTTTGTTGTTGCTGTTGTCATTGGCATGAAGTATGAATTCGCTAGCATCTCCAGCAATAATAATGGTAAAGAGGAGGAAGACCCAGATAAAGAAAGAGAAAGCAAATGCTTAGATAGCTACTCAGGATGGACTTGGAGGATGAGCAGTGAGCTGCTCTATGTGTGTTAATTGGAGCATCAAAAGGAAATGAAAAAGACAATCAACTGGGGGGGGGGGGGGGGCATGAGTACCTAGTGTTGCAAGTGGTCCCAGAGCCACATGCAGACAAAGTGTGATGTAGGACAGGTAGCCTGTGGCCTAGGAGTTAGGACCTCTGTGACTGTTACTTAACCCGCGCCCCAGTGGCGGTCTCAGCCAACTTCGCCCTAATGGTGGGGGGGGGGGGGGGGCATATGTTACCACTCACCTCTAACTCAAAAACTAAGAGGGCTAGAAAGACGCGGTAAAAAGCAGTCGATAGCTCTCGATGCGTACGTTTGAAAGTATTTCAGTCATTTTTCATTTTAGAGCAATATTTGGGTCATCAGAGGTCATCAAAGTTCAAAATTTGCGAATTGTCATTATATTTTTCAGAAAACATGTCATTATCTCAGGAACTATGATAGCTAGAAAAACGCTTGGAAAAGCAATCGATAGCTTTTGAACTCTTCTTTTGATAAGGTCACTATCAAAAATGACCTCAGGTGAGTGGTTTAGCCTCCAGAGGACAAAAACTCCAAAAAAAGCTATTTTACGAAAAGTGTTTTTCGACAATAACTTTTGACTAAAAAAAAAAAACACAACGACATTTCTATTGCCAGAATCGTGTTCCTCTCGCCGAGACGCGTCGAATGAACTATAATTTGACCTTGAAAGGTCAACTTGATAATTTGACCTCAGGTCAAGGTCATGACCTGACCGGAAAAGGTCATGTTGCATATCAGTCGATGCGTCTCGGCAAGACAAAACAATGAGGCCATCCCCAGCGTTCTATCTCTTTCCAATCGAGAGTTATTGGCAAAAAGCTGTTCGTAGCCTCAAATGACCTCGGATGACCTCTCTAGAGGCTATAAGCAAAAAAGACACCTTGGTCGTCACGGATGGTCCAAATCATTGTGATTCTGAAATATTTGGACTGTTCCTATGCGTACACATGGATCTAGAGGCATTTTCGTTTTTCTCCATTCGCTTATAATGGAAAGGTCACGCTACTGACCTAACCTTAGGTCACGGATATAAAAAATCCGAGATATGCAAATTGTAGACGCCCATAACATCATGCAATCGACCAAGTTTAAAACCTTTCTGACAAACACTGCAGGCTGGACATGATTGCAAACTTTTTTAGGCTTGGTCACTAAACTTGACCTGGTGACCTGACCTGACATGACCTGGGGTCAAAAATTTCAAACATTGTCCAAAATTGATGTACAAAAAGCTACTCCAAGCGGCGCGGCGCTACGGCCGCGGTTTTTTATTCACACCCAAAAAACGCGACAGGGAGGTAACATATCCCCCCCCCCCCACTGGGGCGAAGGTTAACCTTGAAGTCATTAAAGTAGCTAATTTTGCTGCTTTAGCTCTGTAATGTCAAATATGAGTTTATACCCGGAGCATGCAACTTTATGTTAAACCTCGCCCGCACATGCCATTTTCCCATCCTAGAACAGAACGCACATGGGGGGGGGGGTTGCCACCCCCCGCCATTTCGTTCCTGTTGGAGATAGAGCTTCGCGGTAAGGACAAAAAAGATTCTTTGAGAAGAGACGAATCCAATGATACCCAGTTTTACCTTCTCAGACCAGTTATTGACCTTCCAGGTCAGGTCAAACTAAAAACTGTTGCTGTTTTGAGTCACCGTTGGATATCAAGTGCGCTGCTTAGCATATACCGATGACGATGCTGTTTTCTGTTGCCAAGCCAGCTAGAACCTCTTTGTCACACTACCCGACCAGATTTTTGTCGTTGAGGTCATTTCAGGTTAAGTTAGGTCAAGGTCAATGATACGTGTTTGTATGTCTGTGTGTGTCTGTGTGTATACTGATGTGTGCACCGAGTGTTTATGTGTCCATGTTACATGAAATCATGATCTGAGAAGTTTTTACCACAAATGCAATCAGAAAACTTCACAAAAACTAAATTCAGCTTGCCCAAAACGCAATTATTATAGATGACCTAGGTTGACCTTGACCCTGACCTTGACATCTGTACATCGTCAAACAACATGTTCCATGATAGGTGGGAGATAAGACCGGCAAAAAAGGCCGAAATCAAGGTGTCAAAGGCTCACAAGGCCCATAGCCAACGCAAGATGTTGAGAATCGGTCATTTGGGTCATGACATGACCTGAAAAACAAGGTCATATCTCCAAAACAAAAAACCACAGAAACTTAACATTTTCAGTGGACATCAAGAAAGGATAAAGGAGCAGCTATACGGAAAATCAGGCTTCTAGCTCTAAAAATGTTGAGTGCAGAGCAGAAAGACTACCTAGGGGAGGGGGTGGCAACCCCCCACCCCCCCCCCCCCATGTGCGGGCGAGGGTCAATACCTCAATGATTCATAGTTTTGCTGTGAAATGTGTGTTTTTGTCAAGCAAAGCCCTTGATTTTATTTAACCCGCGCCCTGCTGGGGGGGGGGGGGTGTTTGAACACCCCCCCTTGTGGTTTTTCGCGAATATCTCAAAAACGGCGGCGCTCCGCGCCGCCGTTTTTGGTACACCTTATCATACATCAATTCTACACATGTTGTGAAAATTTCAGACCAAGGTCATTCAAGGTCAGGTCACCAGGTCACTTGAAGTGACCTCACCTCATAAAACTTTCAATGTCTGTCATAGCTACACCGAGTGACCGATCGCTTTGAAACTTTCAGCGATTGCTAAGGGCAATAGCATGTACAAAATGTATATCTCAGAATTTTGATATCGATGACCTAAGGTCAGGTCAATTTTGCGACCTCCCCATTATAAGTCAATGGGAGAAAATTGAAATGAGCCTCTTTTGGATGAAAGACATTATAAACACTCCCAAACACCGAATTACAAGTGTTTTAGACACACTGAACTTGAAAATGGTGTCCGTGACCCTTGTTTATGCCCTGAGGTCATCTCAGGTCACGAATGGTATCTAACAGTTTTTCGCAAATAACTTTTGATAGAGGCATTCTAGAGCGATGAAAACGCCTTAGATGTGTTCAGCTCGACGATACGGATCGACTGATATGCAACATGACCCTTTCCGGTCAGGTCATGACCTTGACCTGAGGTCAGATTTTCAAGTTGACCCTTCAAGGTCAAGTTATAGTTCATTCGATGCGTCTTGACGAGAGGAACACGATGGCGGTAAAAGTAAGCTCGTACAAGGCTTGGGTCAAAAGTTATTGCAGAAAAACTGTTTTCGAAAAAATCGGCTATTTTTGCAGTTTTTGCCCCCTGCAGGCAAAACCGTTGACGTTAGGTCAAATCTGAGAGAATTACTCAGAAAGGGCGTTAATAGGGCTATCGAATGCGCTTTTCCGCGGCGCTGTAGCTCTATTGGTTCCCGAGTTATGCGTTGGCTTCTTGGAAATTTTCGACATTCGACCTGGAAATCGGCGAAATTTTGCCTTCAATGACCTCTGGTGACCTGACCTTTGCCCTGACCAAAAAATTGACCGAAGTGATTTCGTCATTATTTTTGACGCTCTTTCGAACGCCGCCTTCCGCGTATCGCTACGTGGCCCAGGAGCCGAGTTAGAAGGGGGGGTGTTCAAACACCCCCCCCAGCAGGGCGTGGAAATCCAGGACCCCCAGCAGGGCGCGGGTTAAAACATGTAAGCTCATCACATCACACACAGGACAATTGACAAAAACGGATAAAGAAACAGCAACGACACTTAACTCATTTTTTCAAACAGTATTTGTGGAAGAGGATCCCAATTTAGATATTCCCACCATCCCAGTGGACATAGACACTACGATTCTGACTAATATGAAGGTATCCAGACAGGAAGTATTGGAAGAGCTGAGGAGGATGGATGGGGACAAGGCTTCTGGGCCTGATGGGATCCCTTCAATAGTGCTGAAGTCCTGTGCTGAGGCCCTGGCCCAGCCTCTTTCCTCACTATTTAATAAGTCACTGGAAGCAGGCAAGATACCAAAAGTATGGAAGGAAGCCACAGTGATTCCAATATTTAAAGGTGGAAGTAAGAAGAAACCAGGAAACTATAGACCCGTCAGTCTAACAAGCCAAGTATGTAAACTACTAGAGCGATTGATCAGAAGGAATATTACAGAGCACATGGAATCCAACCACATCATATCAGATCACCAACATGGATTTGTCAGAAAAAGGTCCTGTCAATCAAACCTAATGAAGACATTTGAAGACTGGACAAGTTTGATTGATGAAGGAAACAGTGTGGATGTGATATACTTAGATTATCGCAAGGCCTTTGACACAGTACCGCATGAGAGACTGAAGGCAAAACTACATGGATATGGAATCAGGGGAAACATACTAAAGTGGATCTCTGAGTTCTTGAGAAACAGAACACAACGGGTGTCAGTAAACGGGAAGCTGTCAGACAGCATCAATGTCAGCAGTGGAGTGCCACAGGGATCGGTTTTAGGCCCAGTATTGTTTATACTGTTCGTCAATGAACTGCCAAGACTTGTCCGCAGCACAATGAAACTATATGCTGATGACACAAAGCTGTATCGACTGGTGTCTAGCAAGAAAGATGCAGAAGTGCTCCAATCTGACCTGGACACACTGGCCTGCTGGTCCAAGAAGTGGCTCTTACAGTTCAATGCGATGAAATGTAAAGCAATGCATTTTGGCACCGGAAATCCCAGAGAAAGGTATCATCTGAAACAACCAAATGGAGAGGCATTGGAGCTTATAGAAACAGATGTGGAGAAAGACCTGGGAGTTTGGGTTCTAGCTCGCTGAAGCCTAACCTACCACTGCCTGAAGGCCAGTAACAAAGCCATGTCAGCACTGAAACTTCTTAAAATGACCTTTGACACCCTGACTACAACAAACTTCAAAACTTTGTACACTATATATATACGTCCTCACCTAGAACACTGTATTCAGGCAGTTGGTCCGCATATGGTACAAGACTTCAGGGCATTAGAGAGGGTACAGCGACAAGCTACCAAGCTAGTACAGGGACTGAAGAACTTGACCTACAAGGAGAGACTGAGAAGACTGGATTTGCCAAGTGTCGAAGATAGAGTGAGGCGAGGAGACTTAATAGAGACATTCAAGCTGCTTTCAGGACACATCAATGTAAACCCAATGCAATTCTTTACCATGAACAATGACTGCCAAACAAGAGGACACAGCAAGAAGCTGAAAGTCAAAAGATCGAAAACTGTTGCAAGAGCAAAGTTCTTCTCAAATCCGAAATCGTATAATCCATGACTGGAACAAACTACCAGAAGATGTTGTACTGGCAAACAGCACTAACACCTTCAAGAACCGGCTTGACCAATTCATGGCGCAAACGGCTATACCCTAGATCCAATCAGTCCAGTATACCTACCATATACCTGACGTGGGCACCGAATAGACACCTAGTCTACACCAGCCCATCCGATTAAACCTAAACCAAAACCTAAACAAGCCTTTTCTGAGGGCTCCCCTATTGCACATGTAAGGTGATTTTGATGTAGTGATGATAGTTACCATGACCTCTGAGAAATATCACTTTTTTATAATAAAAATTATTTATGATAAATTTCAAGACATTTGATGTACCGTAAAGTGGGGCTATTTGAGACAGTGGGGCTATTTGAGACAGTATTTAAAATCGCTATAAAATGAAGATCGTTTGATTTTTATGTGATATTTTTGCTCAGGAAGGTGTTGAATCGAGCAGTAAATCGCCTGAGAAAAAAAAAATAAGCATAAATTTCAAATGGTTTTTATTTTATAACAATTTTAAAGGTAGTGTGCCACCTTTGAAAGATTTCCCATTTTATTTTTCCTAGGATAAGAAGCTTCTGTTTTTACCAAATATCGCAAAAAAAATCAAAAATGGGCCTGGAATAGTGCCTTTTTCGCCTAAAAGTTTATCGGTTTTTCGATATGTATAGGGTAAGGGCGGGTAAGAGTACGCGGGCGATAAGAGTACGCATCAGCTGTTTCGGTTGCTTAGCAACGCGGGTTTGTCGAGTTCATGAAGTGACATGAAGCCGCCAGTGCGTGCAGGTCACCAACGGAACGTGGGCGTTGAGCGGCGACGCTGTTGAGTTTAAGGCTATGAATATTATTCTCGAGCGTTATGATATTATTATGATATGGTACAATAATTTTGATACTTGCCAGTTGAGATAAGGTAAATTTCCGTGATTGTTGTGGGAAACTTGTGAGGTTATCTGGGGAAATACTGTACAGTGCAATATTCTGTTTGCGAAGTTTTGCACAACGTTTCGGGGTTGTTTTGTGCGCGAATTGCATGTACGGTAAGAGGACGCACTGTTCAGGAGGGTAAGAGTACGCAGAATTATACATTAAATCGAATATACAGAAATATAGAATTATTAATCTATCGCTCAATGACGTTTGTTTTGTAGGTATATCATCAATGGAGCACTGTGATGCAGATGCGTACCCGAAATTCTTCCAAATACGAGTTATTCTCCTTTTTGATTGTGCATTTTTTTAAGAAACACACGACATGATTATTTCCTGATTTATAGACTTGAAAGATTTATTTTATGTTTTTCTTTTTGGATACTAGAATTAACTTAAATGCCTTCTGAGTTTGAAGTTAAGCATTTGGACAGTGCAAGCTGCATAGGTGTGTGTTCATATGCTTGCGTACTCCACCCGCCTGGCGTGCGTACTCTTACACACCCCATATGGTAAGAGTACGCGAGTGCAACGGTTCAGAAAAATTCAGTTTTAGACCACTTCCATTTACGCTGAAGGATCGCTGCCCCATGGGTTGATGGCTAATTCAATGAACTTTAATTTTCCCTATTAACGATTTCTTTCCTTCAATTATTAAACAAATGAGAGCAAGAAATCCACTAAGTGCGTACTCTTATACGACTTCACCCTAACAACTGTAGTGGGCTGGCCTGCAAACCAGGCGTCGGCAACAATCGCGAATGCGGCGCACATGTGACAATAAGCAAAGGTCATTATACCCCGCGTTCGATGTCTCTCGGGCGGCGAAGATTCTACGCCGTCCGGCCAATCACGTTCCATAACCGCAGCCGAGCCCCCGCTGACCTTGGACGGGATTGGCCGGACGACGTAGAATCTTTGCCGTCCGAGAGACATCGAATGCGGGGATAGAGTTACGACGTACGGGAATGAGTTATCAGCTGTCTAATCGTAGACAACACCACAGTGTATCTTAAATAACAGGTTTTAGGGGCCGATTAGTGGGCAGATAGATACATTTAATTAGCTATTAATAATTGATTATGCAAACATTCAAGAATCTACACCATTCAATTCTAGCCAAAATCACGCGGCGCTCCCAGGCACTCCCAGGATTCGAACTCACGACCCCCTCTAGGGCGAATGATAGAGACGATGACGGACACAGACGAGCCGGATGTGGGACTAGGCGGACGTCGGATGATAAGAGCAGTAGGTAATCGCTGGGGTGCACAGCTGCGACAAGGACAAGGCTTGATGCTGCAAAGCTATTCCTATAAACAGAACGAGGGTTTGGAGTTTGATCCAAACCGTGGACCTCTCGGCCGACCAAGGCGTCACGTCAGCTCCACGCCCATAGGCGTAGGAACAGGGGGGGGGGCCGCCGGCCGGGGGGCCATGGCCCCCCCACTTTCGGAGGTGGGGGGGCCAGCAATGTTAACTGCCCCCCCCCCACTTTTTGCTGTCTGTACCTACCACCCGGTAACTTGATAACTATTCAGCTTTAAAGGAAATAGTTCACTTTCACGAAATTATTTTTTTTTGCAATGGATTTATGATTTTTTATGTTCAAAATGATCAGCAAAGAAAATAAAACCTATTTATAACAAAAGATTATTTTCTATATTTTGATATAGGAAGGACTTTTCAGTTTCTGTAAGGCACAGGCGATCCAGTATGAAAAGAGCATGGGTCCCGAAAATTCTTCAGAAACTAGAGAAATTATCGCGGCCACCGGCATTTGGGTGATCTGCTGCTGCTGAATGTCCTTATTGATCAGTACGAGAATTTCTCTAGAGTTCTCGTAGATAATTTCTCTAGTTTCTGAAGAATTTTCGGTACCCATGCTCTTTTCATACTGGATGCGAATATATGCAAGGCACACATCATCAACGCAAGACACCTTTTTCGGGACGAGAAATAGAATATCTTTGCCTAGGGTGATCGTTGGGCTGTAAAAGCTCCTGATTTATGCTCGTCTCAGCCCAGGCTACGGAACTGCTATTCCAGTTCAAAACCCATGTTAAAAAGTGAACTATTTCCTTTAATGAAGATTCCCTTTTGTTTCTACAGCGTTATTGACCGCAATTTCCTTCACTCAATGAAGGAAACCTGTTGGCTGTCAGGCCTAGGCCTCCGATCGGTGCTGACAACTGGCGACGGATTTGCGAATCTAGATGTACCGCAGCTGAGACAGATGGCGCTGTGTGTTCGGTTGGTCATGGGCAGTTCGTTCGAGGCGAGTCTATGCGGCCCTGTGGCCTGTGATTGGTCGCCGGTTAGGAGTGGGAGAATCGGAAAGAGCTGTGACGGAATGGTGGTTGGCAATATGGCGACGATCGGAACGGCCATGCTTATATCTGTATGTTCGGATACAATAAACAAGTTTTTAGTGAGAATCACGTCTTGAGTGAACCCACGAGAACGGGCAATAGTGGTGGCAGCGGTGCTCAAGATGGGAGAGTGATTCTCGTGGTACGGACGGACTTTTACTGGAAACCGTGATTGCCGCAAGTCAACACGTGGCACAGATTGATATACGCAAGATGGCAGAGAAGGACATTTCACTCGATAAGTTTACTGGCGTGACAGCCAAGGATTGGATAGAGTGGCTCGAGGATTACGTATGTTACGCGGAAGGGAGAAAATGGAACCGGGAGAAGCAGGCGTCAAATCTCCGATTTTTTGTGACAGGCGACGTACGGGACTGCGTAAGAGACACTGGAGCCACAGACCTTAATGAGGTCGACACAGCAGTCCAGGCCCTGTTGGGTGGAAAACCGACCTCCCTAACGGCCAGTCAAGAAATTGATGCAATTACCTATAAGGGTAGCGTACTCGTCATGGTCCAACAGATGCGGAGATGGGCGAAATATATTACCAAACAGGAAGAAGTAGATCAGATGGTAATGCTACATCTTCAAAGGCAACTACCTGTGGCGTACGCAGAAGAAGTGATCAAGCGGGACTGTCAAAACCTGAAAGAGGCAGTCAAGGTCGTACAAGGACTCGAGCGGGCACATCAAATCCGAGTGATGCGTCCTCAACAGCCTGAGCAGGTTGTGAGTCGTGTGGTGGAAGGTCAGAGAGCAGATGGACATCCTGAGAGATCAGCGGGCCATCAGCAGCAGCAGGGCTCTCGTGGCGGCTTTGGTCGCCCACCACCTCGTGGTCAGCGAGGAGGACAGCGAGGACCGTTCGCAGGGAGGTGGCAGCAGCGTCAACCCCCACTGGGGACATCTGCTGGTCAGTTCCAGAGGCAGCCACGAGGTAGGAGAGGGGCCCAGTGTTTCACATGCGGAGGTGAGGGACACTTTCGAAGATCCTGTGTGTTTAAGAATGACAGGTGTGGAACGTGTGGCAGAGTGGGTCACCTGAGTCCCATGTGCAATGAAAAAAACGAGACACGACCTGCTACACAGAGCCTCCAGTAGTGGGTCATGGGTGTGAAGAGGACTCTAAGGAGCCTGAACCAGGGGGGAGGTACCTGAAAGTAAAAGTAGGTGATAAGGTAGTCGGTGCTCTTATCGATACAGGGGCTGATGAAACATTAGTTAAGTTGGATTGCCTGCCCCAGGGTACACCTACGTATCCCCTGGACAGTAAAGTTAAGTTAGCGGATGGAAGTGATGCAGATATTGTAGGTTGTGCTGTGCTAGATATAGAGATTGCCAAGTGTGTCCAAAAAGTAACTGTACTTGTGTCACGTAAGTTGTCTGAAGATTGTTTGATTGGAGCTAGGCTTCTCACTCAGCTGGGGGCAAAGATCGACATGAGCACAGGTTTGCTTCATGTCAGAACGGTGACTGTCCCACTACAGTGTTCACCCATGAGAGATGAGTACCATGTGTCTCGTGTGGTGGTGACTGACACAGTTGTGGTGAAGGCTCGGACTGAGATGTTGTTTAGTGGTGAGGTACGTGAGCGACGTTTGCAGGGTCAGACGTGTTTGTTGGAGCCAGAGCGTCCTGCTGAAGACAAGTTAGGCGTTTGTGTGGCTCGGTTAGCTGTTAAGGTTGATGATTACTGTGTTCCCATTCGTGTGTCTAATGTGTCAGCTGATGATGTGAAAGTGTATAAGGGGACACATATTGCCAATGTTCAGGTAGTAGGAGATGAGGCTGTGCAAGGGGTGGGTCATCCAAACTCCTCAGACCTGTCTGACTTTGACAAGGACCTGGACAGGGTGACTGAACATCTGACCATGCAGGACAGGAGTGACTTCAAACAGATCCTGACTGAGTACAAGGAGGTGTTTACAGGATTGGGTAGGACGAGCATTGCTGAGCATTGCATACCGACTGGTGACCACAGACCTATTTTTCAGAACTACAGACCTGTGCCGGGTCACATGAAGGGGAAGGTGGCTGAGCAGCTGAGTCGGTTGGTTGACAGTGGAGTTGTTCGGCCTGTACCTGAGTCGGAGTGGGCGAGTCCTCTCGTCGTCGTCTCCAAGCCGCACAGTAAGGACGTTCGTATCTGTGGTGATTACAGGCGTCTGAATCGCATCACTACTCCTTGTGTGCAAGTCATTCCACATATTGAGTCGTGTTTGCGGAAACTTTCGGGAGCTAAACTGTTCACATCGCTTGATTTGGCGCAGGCCTATCATCAGATGCCGCTTCATGTAGCTGATCGTGCTAAAACAACAGTCACAACAGAGTTCGGTTTATTTGAATATCAGTCTTGCCCTTATGGACTTCAGGGATTGCCTCACAGTTTCAATCGTGCTGTGGCACTGGCATTATCTGGTGTTAGTGTGGATGTTTATGTTCAGTATTTCGATGATATCCTCGTTTTGGCCGAGGACATGAGTGAGATGAAATCAAACCTTCGTGCTATATTCCAGTGTTTACAGGACGCTGGCTTTACTCTTTCGCTCCGGAAGATTCGTCTGTGTCAGAGGGAGGTGAAGTTCCTTGGATTTCTGGTCAGTTCTGATGGAGTCGCGTGTGATCCCGAGAAGACGCGTATCATCCGAGATTGGCCACAACCAACTACAGTAAAGCAGGTCAGATCATTTCTGGGGCTAGCTTCATATGTTCGTAAGTTTATTCCCAGATTTGCTGAGTTGGCTAAGCCGCTGACCAGATTGACTGAGAAGGGTGTGCCGTTTGTATGGACGTCACAGACAGCTGAAGCCTTTCAGGCTTTGAAAGCTGCTTTAGCGTCGCCACCTGTGCTGGCGCATCCGTCGTTTGAGAAGGGCGCTCCGTCGTTTATATTAGATACAGATGCCAGTGGTGTAGCGATCGGGGCTTGTCTAACGCAGAACGATCGGGTGATCGCGTATGCTAGTCGTCCGCTGACGAAGGCAGAGCGGCAGTATGCAGTCACAAAGCGTGAATTGCTAGCTGTAGTCTGGGCAGTGCAGCATTTCCACCAGTTCTTGGTGGGAGCTACTATGCATTTCAGACCCCATGAGACCCTAATTTTCGGCGATAATTTATTTACTATTTGTCCAATTTGCTTCAAATTTTCACAATGCACATTTCAGCTCAAGCGCCAATTTTCGTCAATATGGTCTCTTAACAAAATATCAAATTTTAGGGTACTTGTCGTTGCCTCGTAATGTTAAAATCGGCTCCGTAAATCCGTCAGTGGAGTAGAGGCTATCCGTGCGTAGGTGTGACGTCACAAACACGTGACCATTAAGCTCCGCCCTCCCGGCGGACGGGGTAGTGACCTTGGCC